AATAAGAGACACGGGGTAGAACAAAATGTGAGGAACACCCTGGAGCATGGGCATATCTCCCTGTAAACAGCCTTGTGAAGCAGCCCAGGTCTCAAGCGGGTGTCAGTGTCTAGAAATGCCTCGAGAGCAAACACAGACTTAGGACATAAGACCCCCATTCTGCCCTTCCTGTCCCACTTTACATGGATTTGGCTCTTGTAGGTGCTGCCTTAGCTGTGCTGGGAGACTCATGGGCTTTGCTCAGCCTGAGATAGGCCAGAAGAACCATGCTGAACTTCTCTACCAATCAGCCTCTTTTCCTCTTCCTCCTCTTTCATACTCTTAGAATCATAGAAATGTTTGGGTTGGAAGGGACCTTCTAGATCCAAACCCCCTGCATGGGTGGGGGCTCAGAGCCCCATCCTGACTTGCCCTTGAACATGTAGTTTGTAGACGCCAGGCCCTGTGAAAGCCAAGAATACTTAGCCCCCATTGGAGTGTCTGTTGCGAGGCTGCCATAGACCATGCTTGTCCTGGCCTCATCAGTGTGAGGCACCAGCCCCTGTGCAGCCTACTGCTGGAAGGATGAGACCAGTGCCACGTTTTTCTTGCCATCTGTGCTTTTTCTTACTTGAGGTTGCTACAATATAGGAGGTGGCTGCATATGTGCAGTATGAGCAGAAGGAGTTGCATTTGACTTTGTGCCATTCCTTTTAACTCTGTCTCTCTCCCAGTTTCTGCATCCTGAGCTCTCAAACATAGTCACTCTTTGCAGATGCTTATTGTTGCCAACTGCCAGAGTGTCCAGGACTCTGTGTGCTGCCTCCAAGCCAGCCATGTAGAAGAGGCAGCTTTATGCACATCCATTCTGAGTTCCTGTCCCATAGGAGAGAGGAATTTTTTTCCTTGGCGCAAAACCAATGTGCTACAATCATGATGGCATTTCAAAGGAACAGGCTACCTACCTGCTGACACCAGCATGCCTGCAAGATAGCAGTGTAGCATTTGCTATAGTTAGTTATAGTTACTATAGTTAGTTATAAATAGCCTCAAATCCTGTGTGTGCTGTGTCAAAAAAACCCCAACAATAACCATGCATAACAAAATGAACATTTCTCCCGTGGCTGATTAAAATTAACAAACATCACCCAAGATCACAGCTACGCTGCGTGGAACTTGCTCTTCTCCTCTGGGTATCTTTTATGTTTGGCAATGTGTGCAACTCAACTTGATACAGCTTCCAAAAATAATTCGTTTAACAGATTCCTGGTTTATATTTGTCTTCTGTCATCTCATAGATAACAGGAAACTTTATTAAAAGCCAGGCCTTGACCAACAGGCATAATGTATGGGTTTTGTAACTTTATAAAACTCTGTGTGTGCTGGAATTAATTACGCGCCTGTTAAAAAACATGAAGGACTCACTAGTGTGGGACAATAGCAGCTTGATGGAGCACAGCAATAATAAGGTGTTTGTCATCAGTCTGTTTTTCTCCGCAGCTGCAGAGCTGCAGTTAGTGCTCTTGGTGGTGGGTTTTTTTCATGCTGTAGGGCCAGAAGCAGCATTCATTCATGGTTGCTTGCTAGCCCTGCCAGTGTGAAACTCTTAGTTCTACAAGGATGCCTACTCCAACATGGCTCTTCTAAGAGGGAGCTAATGCTGCTGCTCATTCATGGGCCTCACCACCTTCAGGATACGTCTTGTGCAGCCTCTGTGCACACTAGTCATTCTCACTGCATTTACACCAGAGCTGCAGCACTAAAAAGCACCGGGTGTGCATGAACCAAAGTACCATGAAAGAAGAACTTGTGGGTGCACCTGGTGAAGCTGCTGAGTTCTGCCTGAAGACTGAGCACCTGAATGCCACCATAACATGCACTGCTGCCCCTTAGCACCACCCAACACTTTGCCCCACCCCACTGCTCACTTTGCTGGTTTGCATTCCGCCAGCTACAAAGCTGTATCCTGATACCAAACCTTAATAAGCCTTTTGGAAGAAGTGCCTGCATCAGGATTAAAAACAAACATGAAACAATAACATATTTCTCCCGTGGCTGATTAAAATTAACAAACATCACCCAAGATCACAGCTACGCTGCGTGGAACTTGCTCTTCTCCTCTGGGTATCTTTTATGTTTGGCAATGTGTGCAACTCAACTTGATACAGCTTCCAAAAATAATTCGTTTAACAGATTCCTGGTTTATATTTGTCTTCTGTCATCTCATAGATAACAGGAAACTTTATTAAAAGCCAGGCCTTGACCAACAGGCATAATGTATGGGTTTTGTAACTTTATAAAACTCTGTGTGTGCTGGAATTAATTACGCGCCTGTTAAAAAACATGAAGGACTCACTAGTGTGGGACAATAGCAGCTTGATGGAGCACAGCAATAATAAGGTGTTTGTCATCAGTCTGTTTTTCTCCGCAGCTGCAGAGCTGCAGTTAGTGCTCTTGGTGGTGGGTTTTTTTCATGCTGTAGGGCCAGAAGCAGCATTCATTCATGGTTGCTTGCTAGCCCTGCCAGTGTGAAACTCTTAGTTCTACAAGGATGCCTACTCCAACATGGCTCTTCTAAGAAGAAGCTAATGCTGCTGCTCATTCATGGGCCTCACCACCTTCAGGATACGTCTTGTGCAGCCTCTGTGCACACTAGTCATTCTCACTGCATTTACACCAGAGCTGCAGCACTAAAAAGCACCGGGTGTGCATGAACCAAAGTACCATGAAAGAAGAACTTGTGGGTGCACCTGGTGAAGCTGCTGAGTTCTGCCTGAAGACTGAGCACCTGAATGCCACCATAACATGCACTGCTGCCCCTTAGCACCACCCAACACTTTGCCCCACCCCACTGCTCACTTTGCTGGTTTGCATTCCGCCAGCTACAAAGCTGTATCCTGATACCAAACCTTAATAAGCCTTTTGGAAGAAGTGCCTGCATCAGGATTAAAAACAAACATGAAACAATAACATTAAAATGTCTCGAGGCACAGCAACCCAGTGGTGGTATTGCTTTGGCAGGAGTCTGAATCAGCCAAGGCACCATCCACCAGCCCTTGGCACTCCTCACATGGTGCAAGGAGCAGCTGTGCCCCAGCTGGTGATGGGCAGAGCCCTGGTGCGTGAGGCTGGGTTGGGTTTGCTTGTAGGTCTGGAGATCCAAATGCAGCCTGCAGGGCAAGGGGCTCAGCTTTGCTCCCTCCATCTCTTGCAGTATTCACCAGTGAGCTGTGTAACCTGGCCCAGTGCCCTCGCTGTGCTGCTTGGGCCTCTCAGGCCTGGCTGCAAAAGAGCAGTATCAGGGCTGCTATGGGCCAGAGAGGGCCACTGGCATGGGACCCTGGCTGGAGCACCAGCACACATGGTGTCCTGGTTTGGGCCAGGATGAAGCCAGTTTTCTGGACTGTGACACATGGCTTCATAGCAGCATGGCAAAACACTGCCTTTCCCTGCACCTGAATGATCAGAGGCAAACATTCAGCAACAAAGCTTCTAATTTTTATTAAAAGAAAGTTTAACCTTTTATTTTCCCTTGCTCCATTCCTATAAGGCTTAATGCAGGAGTTTGCTAATGCAGGATTTGTGTTACAACATATGCTGAGGCAAAAAAACACCAAGTCAGACAAATCCCATCTTCAATACATCAGTTTTTGTTTCCTTCCTGGGAGGAGAATGTGGAGGGTGACACTGTGTGGCTTTAATACAAAGAGGGGTGTAGGTTCAAGAGGCAGTTGTGCTCTATTTCCCTCCATCCCATAATTGTATCCCACCTGTAAGAGTCCTGAAAAACCTACACAGTGTGCTGACTTGGATTGGCTACACAGCTCCTCCAAGGAGGGGGCTGGAGAACTCACAGGGCTGCAGCTGCACCATATGATTAGTTTTCCCTTTAAGTTTACTTAAATCTTTTAAGAATTAGGAAGAAGAGCCAGAACAGTAATTCTGAGTTTTAAATCACAGGATTGTCTTTTTCTTACATAAGAGAGGGGGAAAAAGACTACTCCTAACATAGAGCACAGCTGCTACACTGCAGCTCAGCCAGAGCCCAGGGAAGGTATCTCGCTGACTTCACTGGGTTTGGATTACATCTGTTTGCACATGACTACAGTCAGTGCTGCCACCACCACTGAGGAAGAGTATGCAGAGCTGGGAGCTGCTGCTGGTGTGATGTTACCCTCTCCTTCTTGGGCTGTGTGCAGTTAAAATTTAGTTGTCTGTTAAACACACTTTTTGATTCATGAGAGATGGAAATAGTTAACAGAAGATGGAGAAATGGTGTAATTGGTAAAGATGGTGGTTATATTCAACTGTAAGCAAAACAAAAAAAAGAAGTTAACATTCAGTATCACGGTCAGTAAGATTGTCTATGTATACTTCTGTCATGGGGCTAAGATACAAAGCTTAGGGTGGTAAATATGCATATTTACTAAATAATACATATTGCGTGCAAGCCAGAGCTGGAAGCTGGCAGCCCAGGCTGTGCTGCCTCATCTGCAAACCAGACAAAGCCAAGCCCCCAGGAAAGCTGAAAGGATGTTTTTACCCTTCTCTCACCCTCACACCTTGGCTTGTCTGAGGTGTATGTTCCTTGGTGGGGCTGCCAAAACAAACTCCCTGTGCCTGGGGTGCTGCAACACAGGGAGCCCCCTTGTTCAGCCCCTTGCACATGAAATGTCACCACTGGTTGGCACCCCAGCATAGTCTGGGCTTCATGTTACATTCTCCTGGCTGGCTACCTTCAATGGCTGCTCCCTGCAGGCTGCCAGAAATCTTTGTTCAATAGAAAATATAAGCCCTACAAAAAGCAATGGAGCAAGCTGTACTTGGTAGAGTTTCTAGGGTCATTTTTTAGGGGGCCCTTAAGATCAGAAGTTGGTCTTTAGAGACAACCTTGTATGTGTGTGCCTCTCATTTATGCACTTCAGGAAGTTCTTTGCAGAGCTGACGTCCCTTTTCCACTGCTTCTTGTGCTGCCAACATATGTCTTCTGGTGTTCAGAGTCAACAACTTCTCTAGGCTTCCTAGTCCATTCCTAGACCCTCCTGCCCAGCAGCATCTGGTAGGAATGTGACACTGAGCCCCTGTGTACTGTCACCACCTAGGAGTTTGGCACTCTCTTCTAGCTTGCGCATCTGCCTGCTTGCTGCTTGTTGCTGCTGCTCCTTCAGCTCACTGTAGGAACGGGAAAAGGTATGAAAAATGGATGTGACTGGGAAAGCCATCAGCAAAATCCCACTCAAAATACTGCTCAGCGCTACCACCTGTCCAGGGATGCTACGAGGTACCATGTCACCGTAGCCAACAGTTGTCATGGAGATCACAGCCCACCAGTAACTGGTGGGGACACTTGTGAATTCTTGCTTGGCTCCCAGTTCGCTCTCCGCCAAGTACACCAATGGTGAGAAGAGGGCCATGGCAACACAGAGAAAGAGCAGGAGAAGCCCGAACTCCCTGGTGCAGCGGCGCACGGTGAGCCCCAGTGTCTGCAGCCCCAGCGAGTGCCGCGCCAACCGCATCACGTACAGGATGCGCAGAGCCCGCAGGAAGCGCAGCACCAGCCCCACTCGTTCCAGGTACTTGTTCCCAGCTCCCCCACTGGGCTTGCTGCTGTTTTTCGTGGAGACCATATCCACAATGAGAGAGATATAGAAAGGCAAGATGGCCAGGATGTCAATGATGTTGAGTGGGGTTTTCAGGAAAGCACACTTGTTCTCTGCCTGGATGGATCGCAGCAGGAACTCAAATGAAAACCACGCCACGCACACCGTCTCCAGCACAAAGATGTCATAGCACTTCCGTGTGCATTCACCCTGGGGAGAAAAGGAGCAGGAAACACAGAAAGAAAAAAAAAAAAAAAAAAAGGGAAGGAAAAGATTTAGCCACGGAGCTAAGCAAAGAAATGGAGAGTGGCAGTTTTTGAAGAAAAGGATTGTATGAAATGGATACAAATTGTGAGGTACCAAAGCAAAATAATGTCTGCTAAGTGCAGATGGAGTGGATCACTAAAACCAGAGCTGCTAGCTACATGCTTGGTCAACAATGCTCAGGAGGCTGCCAAAAATTTGATGTGATAATACCAGCTGCCAGCCAGCCTGCCCACTGCTGAAAGGCCAGTGACTCACACCTCATTTCTAACCGAGCCTTTAACACCCTTCAGAAAGGATTAGTACAGGATTCATAGATTTAAATAAATGGGTGATCCCTTCCTTCCAGATCAATAATACATTGCTTATAAAAGGCTGATAAACACACACAGCATTTTATGTTACGTGCTTGGACTAATCTATTAATCTATTGTTCATAGAACACAGAATATTTTTTATATTCCAGTGTATTAACATACGAGCCCTCTAGTCAAAAGCTTGTATCAAGTAATGATAAATGTGGATATTTCTAAAAGAAAAAGTACCACAAGAATAGAGGGAGGGTCCAGAGAGATAAGCATTTTTAATTACCTCACCTGTAACAATGAATGACCACCCTGCCCTCCCCAAGCTTTCTGAGGCACCTGAAGAGGTGCTCTTCTCTGCAGGCTCACTTAGTGGGAAATAAAGAGAACTCTGTTTCTTTAGTTACAATGCCTGTAAACAAGCCAGCCTTGGTGCATTGGAACGGCAGTAAACAATAATGCTTGTTATGGCTGCTCTTTGACTGTCAATTCAACAGCATGGACTACACCACTGCTAGTAACTCCAGTTGAGTAATAATCAGCTTCTCAAAATAAACAGATTTTGATGTGGACAATTATAGGGCTAGTGCTGTTTCCTCTGTAAATGCTCATGAAAAAGTGTTAATGCTCTGGGGGCTTTGAGCAGAAAACAAGTGTATAAAGGGAAATATGTATTTATTTGGTGAGCCAGGATCACTCTGAACAGCTCATGAAAACTCTTGTAAGCATGTAGGAGTCATAGAGTTGTCAGGGCTGGAAGGAACCTCTGAAGATCATCTAGTCTAACACTCCTGCTAGAGCAGGATCACCTACAGTTGCTCACATAGGAACACAGATGGGTTTTGAATGTCTCCAGAGAAGGAGACTCCACAACGTCTGTGGGCAGCCTGTTCCAATGCTCTGTTACTCTCACAGTATATCAGTTTTTCCTTATATTTAACTTGAACTTCCTATACTCCAGCTTGTGCCCATTGCCTCTTGTCCATCCATGCTAGCAGAGTACATGACTGTCACTGGATTCAATAGGTGTTAGGTATCAATGTAAAACCTTGTTTTGCTTGCCTATGCTAAATTATAGCAAAAAATATCACTCAAGAGTGGTGAAGCTGTGTCAAGCTGGTCCCCATTTCACCACTGGAGAAGCTAAGAGCCTGGCATATCTAAAACAGTTCTGCTCACATGGCCACCACTAGGCAGAGCTGAGGAAATTATTGCTGCACAGCTCCGCATCCTAACTTCATTCCTCTGTAAGTGTTTATGCACAACTTTTTTCCCTGTTGTGAAAGAAAACAGCAAAGGAGTGATGAGACTTTTGCCCTCTTCGCTACACAGTGTTCCCCAAAATGTGGGGGAGTGACTGGATACACGTTTCAGGGACTGCTGCACTGCCAGCAGCAAAAGCAGTGTCATCATACTGAGTGTAAAGCCTTGTCTGACCTCAATATGGTAACCAAAATGCCAAGGCACCTTCCCCATCTCATGCTTAAGAACACATTGAGACAATGTGTTCAGATGTCAACAGGAAAATAAAAATATAAGAAGGAATCCTGAGAGCTGGCATTTATGATCCTTGTATTAAACATGATGGAAAGTTATGATGCCTTGTAAATAGAGATTTTTTAATTTTTTTTTCTTTGTATTCCAATTTCGGTTGGTATATGATGTGCCTCCCACTGTTTCCCAGGTGTCATGCTGATAAGGAGAGAAAAATTGCTCTGATAGCCTGTCTTTAACTTCCTAATTTTGCTACATGTGAAGACTAGAAGGAACTTAATTTATATCTGCCTCACCAAACTATTTTGGACATAAGAAAGTATTTTTGCCACAATCGTAACACATAGGACAAAACATTTTGTTTTCAGGGACTTTGCTTCTTTCACAGCATAATTAAGCTGCATCTTAATTTAGTCAGCTGTTCTACCACTCAGTGACTCCTCCCCATCTGAGGATATGGAAGAGGAAAAAAGACCTGTGGGTTGAAATGAAAACAGATTTAAGAAAATTACTTAAAAAACTAATATTAATACTAAAAATAATACAAAATGCACAAAGCTATATTAAGGCCATGTACTGGTCATGAGCTGGGCACTCCCAGCAGTAAATGCGAGGTGTCAAACACTGCAAGCACCACAGCTCCAGCCAAAGTGTGACAGTCACAGCAAACAGGAGAGCAGGCCTCTGGAGCAGAAGAACGGGCAGGACCCTCCAGGGATGGTGCCCACTGAGGTAGGAGACCCATTCCCAGCCAACTTATATTGGAGTGAACATTGGACATTTATGGTACAGAATATTTCTGTTGGCCAGCTTGGGTCGGCTGCCCTGGCCTTCCATCCTCCCAGATTTAGCATGTGGGTAACTCAGAACTGCTGGAGACCTTGGTCACTGTGGAAACCCACACACCACAGCTGGCCATGATCTAAAACAAAGTGTCTCATCAGCTTTATTCCTACTGAGCTGGGTGCTCCAGTCTTCTAAAAAATGAAGTTTTTCTGAATATAAATTTGATCGAATTATGCTGTCGCAGTGACACCAGGACAGCTGTCAGGCTCCCATCAGGTACAGAACCAAGAGGCTTCCACACCACCACAGGAATCTGGCCCTGTGGGCCAGAGCTAAAGCTCACAAGGTCAGTGGAAGGACTCTGCTTGTGCCACTGTAGCTTCTCACCCTATTACCAAGAAATCAGCCATCAGACTGGTACTGTTTGAGTCCTACTGCCTGGGAATGTCTCATCAGGATATGCTTGATCTCACACCTAAGGACAATGGTTACAGGTGATCTGCAGCTCCTGATACTATCCTTGCATGTGCACAACAGGGTAAGGCCACTTAGGAAGGCAACACATAGGAGAACAGCTATGGCTTGAGCAAAGGAGCAGCAATGGCAAGAAGGAGAAAAAACAATGTGCAGATGTGAGGGGCCGGACTTTTCCTCACACGAACATAAGCCCTTCAGGGCAGAACTCATAACTGATTTCAAATGGCTGCTCTGTCAGGCACTTTCAACCCTCCCCTGTCTGCTGCCTCCTCTGCCAAAAAACAACTCAGACCCCATGAGGGAGTAACCAGCCGCCAGGAAGGAGCAATGGCAGGAAAACGGCAACAGTGCTGCAAACAGCGGCCTGCCCAGGGACAGGAAGAAAGTCCCTGCCTGATGGGCAGGGGAGGCCCAGGAACAGGAGCCCGAGGGCCACGAAGAGACTGCCTGCCTGTTGCTCGCTGCCGCTCTTGGGATGGCACGGAACCTGCTGCTGCTTGCTTTTTGGGGGTTTGCCTGTTCTTTGGGGGTCCCTGCTCGCCTGCGGTACCTGTGGTACCTGCCTGCTGCCAACCACCTGTCTGCTCCAACCACCCACCTGCAGTGAGACTTCTTCCCGCCACCCGTGGGTTCCGAGATCGGGTTGCAGGGGGGGTCACCTGCACCTAATTTATAAATACCTAGACTATCTCAGGAATAAAGTAAGGGATTGCATTTTGGTATCATTCTCTCCATAAGGTGTTCCTGGACCCTATATGGGACAGGTGTCAGGCATATCCCTCCCTCTTCCCCTCTTAGTGAGTTAATCTTGGTGTGTAAATAATAAGGTGCATTCATATTTAAGTATTTGGTGTTTCAAAGACCCCATCTCTCCCTTCTTCTCCTAAATTGTGTTCAATTCCCTAAGAAACCATTTTAATTCGTTAAACTATAAATTTGAGGTCATTCTAAATTTGTGGGAGGTGTGATTCAGCATTCCACCTTTAAAGCTTGTGGAGACTGCTCCTCTGAGGGAGGCAAGCACCACACGCAGACCCCCTGGCTCCACTAACAAGTTTTTCCAATAAGGAAGGCGAGCTGTGTTTTAACATCCTGGCAAGTCGTGCCGGTTTGTGACAGATTTGCTTTCTCTGAAAGGTACATCCCTAATTGCATCATCACGTATGGAAACTAGGATGTAGTTTGCCTTAAGAGACTTATCTGGCAGGAAGTGTTCTGGATTCTGATGGGCACATATATAATTTTCGTGCCACTAAAAGTTTAAGGGAAGTCGGTGAAGCCTATGGAGAATTTAGCCTTGGACCAGGGCTACAAAGACATTAGGATGTTTACTAGCTAATTTGGCACCTAATTCCCCCAGCACTCTCTATTTGGTGCATAAGGAAAGGAAATTCTCCAAAGTCCTTCTGTCTGTCAGTTTTGCTGTGGGAGCAGAGGAGTGAAAATTGCTCCTTATTTTGCAGTGGAGACGATTTTCAGAAGACTCTATCTGCCCTCCCACACTCTGACATGTTTATCCTGTATAGGTTCCCAAACCTACAGCATTGCTATTTATGTCTTAAATCTCCTCGCAGAACTACATCAAAAACACAAGCACAGGAGCAGCCTGGCAACCTCTGCTCAGCTGAGCACGAGAAGCTTGGCGAGACCTGAAGTTAGGGTCATCATCCACAGCAGACCCAAAGTGGCATCTTTGCCCAGGGCTGTAATGAGTTGAAATGTACCACTCCACCCAGAACTGATGCAGGGATCTGGTTTTCTCCACTCTTCCCACTATCCACAGCTGCTGGCTAACAGAGTGAATGTAGAAATGTTTCATTTCAGGAGAGTGGAGAGAGAATGCTCTGCTATACAGAGGTCATTTTAATGGGATGAAACAAATCC